CTTTTGGTCCTAATAGTTGACCTTCTGATGACCTAAAGGAGCTGGTAAGAGATTGGAACACTCAGAAAAGCATCTCCTCATTGTTCTTAAGGACTTCGGACTTTCCTACTCAAGCGGAACTAGCATGGAGCCTTCCTCTGGCTTATTGTGTTTGTTTTATTCCACAGCACTAAATAAGCATAATCCAGACTTTTTAAAGAATCTTGGATGAATCAAGAGCTGCACTGATATGAAGAGACTGAACAGCACTTTCTTCTCCTAATAATGTAAATTAAGTGCACAAAGCAGCATTAAACCCATTACATTGATATATCTGACTATCTTAAGCCCTTCTGTTTATGTGTTCAAAGGTTGGAGGTAGATTTATGTAAGAGCTCAGTTGTACAAGTATTAGTCAAAACAAAGGAAGGTTTCTCACCCATCATCTGTACTTCAGTTAGCAGGTTTACCCGACGTTTGGCTCTTATCCAAATAACTTTTTTTCAAAAGAATGTAAGTTCAGCCGCAAGTTGGAGATTTATAATATGTGGGTGTGGTTAGTTGTAAATGTATTTCATATTTTGCCACAAGTGAAACATAAATACTGATGATTCTTCACAACGACTTTTTTAAGGATGTATTTGGGAGGATGAGATATCAGCTGTATCCCCAGGTTCCTATGCTAAAAGAGCTAATAAATGAAGCCTGGAGATTCCTTTCCTTACTGTTCCTTGATGTTATTGCCCAATTCAGATCAGATCTTCCTTGTTAAGGCAGCCTGAACACCGGCTAAACTTGGAGTGAGGTGTTCTCAACGACGTGTGTCAGATGAAAGACGTGTATAGTGACAGATTGGAGCTGCTTTTGCCAGTATACAGCACATTACTGTAGTCAAGCCGTGTAGAGAAAGCATGGATCAATTACTCCAATTACGAAAAGATTGAATCGATTTAAGTTTAAACATAATGTAAACGAAAATCTGCTAATCAAAGTTGAAGTTTTTTGGCCAAAATTTCCTTCAGTTTATAAAACTGTTTGGCAAACCAGACCTTGCCTTCATCGTCACACAGAACAGGGAACTCTTATTATTCGTCTTGTGTGTCAAGTGTCATCTATTTATGCGTTAAGTAGATCTTTGTATTGTTTTTTATTGTATCTGGGAATTCATCCACCTAATAATTTTCTTCTGCACTCTCAGAAATAAAGGTACGGATTTGTCCTCATAGGAGTACAATCGCTTGTCACTGGGGCAGACACCTCACAAGGACAAATATGTACCCCTAATATGGGGTACTTTTATGTACCCTTGTATATTGTACCTTACTGGAACAATTGTGTACCTTATTGGTGGCAATTCTGTACCTTGCCTAAACAAATGATGTACCTTTTTTGTACAAGGTACTATTTTGTACCTTTTGCCAAAAGGAACATTTCTGTTCCTTTTTAATGGATTCAACTTTTGTGTACTGTATATTAATAAAGGCTATAAAACAATTTAAATTCAATTAATCTTTAATTTATTCAACAAAACTTATTCAATGTTTCAAACACAATGTTTAAGGGACAGAAACGTGTTGTTGTCAACAGAATAAACATCATAAGCCTGATGATCTATTTCTTCTCCTGGTCTAATTAAAGTCCATTCCTCATCCATCCTGACCGAGTAGGCAAAAAAATGGTGTTCAAAACTTAAAGGAAATAACATTTTTCCACATAGAACCCACTCTGTATCAATGTTCAAAATGTATTTGATTTTTAGGAACAGTGGAATCCTTTCAGAATGCAACAAACCAATAATGAAGACATCATGTACTGCATACTTAACACAGTTCAAAAGTCCCTCTGACAGAATTGACCATGAGCTGTCAGTGCTTTTTGAAGTCCGACAGGAAGTGACACAAATGGTGTTTCAATGCTTTTCCCTGGAACATGTTCAAAATCCGCAAACATATTGCCTGATGAAAATTCCCAACATTGTCTGAACTGATGTCTTTTGCTAAGAGTGCTGGAAATATTTATAAAGTTTCGAGATGTGAAGGCTACTTTTTTAAAATATTGATGTTTACCTTCAAATCGCATGCACCATAACAAACGTAAAGGACCATGCATTTCCATAAGTCTAGCATAATGGATTAAATAATGACATTTTGGTGTAATGACATCTCCAAACACGCTTTTCATTTCTGTCAAAAACTCTTCAACCAATGCATTGAGTGACAGAAGCTTCTCTTTGTTCACCTTAGGTGCCATGACAATCTCTGCAATTTCTTTACACAATAAATAAATTCTCCAATATTTACAGTTTAAAGGAACACGGTGAGCTAACACGAATGGAAGTAATCTGAAGAGGCACCATTTCTGCGATGCAGACCCTTTAATACCAACAGCATGAAGTCTTTCTGACATTTGAACAGGCTTGTTTTGTTTGTCATTCTGACCAATACACAGTCTATTTAGTTCTTCATTAATCTCTCTTATTGTGATGTGCTTTTCTGTGTGAGCTTTACCAATAACCAATTTCATAACCAATGGAATCACCCCTTCTAATACATCGTGCATCACATCTGGCGGAAAGGCTGTGGTTGTGTCAAAATAATCAAGTTCTTCAAAAGGAGATTGCTGGTAAACACCATAGGTTGCTTTGTCATCGGGACATTGTTGTACTCTCAGAAGATGCTGTTTGTGAACATTAGAAGTTCTCAAAATAAAGTCCTCTTCTCTGAACATTTGTTTGATGTCTCTATATGTTGCCATACAATATCTGCATATCCTCCCAGAGTTAAATGACATTGTGAATCCCCCAAGCATATGTGCAGATAAATTGTCACAAGATATAGTTGCAAGACCAGCAAAAATTGTATAGTCCCTTTGATCAACTGAAATATTAAATCCATGAATTGCGAGCCGTTTTAAATCATTGAGCATAGGTTTCAGAATAGTGTTCCAACCACATTTTTTCACAAATGAATAGCGAACCAACAAAGCCAAATGAATGTGTCGTTGAAGTGACCTATATTTTTTGTCTAAATTACCAATTGTATAATAAAAGCCACACAATTTGTGTTTTGTTCTTTTAGCACCCAAAGGGTTCACCACTTCAAATTCATCTTCATATAAGTGCAAACGCAGAGCATATGGATGATCCTTAAAAAAAGGGTGTTCTTTGAAGACATTCCCATCACAATAGTCCGACAGAAAATCAGTCTCTGGTGTATGGCTGGAAAACAAAAGATCCTTGATCTCCTCATTTGAACAGTAGTTTTTGAGGACCTTATTGATTGGCACGTATGAACAGCTTCCTACTACTTTTCGTTTGTCATCTATTAGTTTATAATCCACAGGCTCTGTCATTTTTAATGCATTTTTGCAGTGTTCAGTAATGCAGTAGGGGGATTGGATTGCCGCTGTTGCTCCTTTGAAAAAATCTTCTGAGTGGATCACATTAGCCAACTCTGGAATTTCAGAAATACTGAAACCGTTTTTTTCCAAATGATAAGTTATAAAAGTATCATAGTTCTCCTTGAAAAAACAAAAAAGGAAGTTGACATCCTCAACAATCTCTTTTTGAACAGACACAGGAAGGAGATTTTTTTCTCGACACTTTAAAATGAAATTGAACAAATTATTTTTGAAGTCCTTCAAAAGTTCATCAATAGAAGGTGCAAAAGATTGAAAACGTTCATTCAAATCTTCAACTAATGACATCTCAGGGTCTCTCTCAGAGTCACTTACAGCAAATTCCTCCTCAGCACAGTCATTTACAGGATTACCCTTGATATGTTTGCGATATACGTGCCGTCTAAAAGATTCAAATATTTTGAATGACGAGCAACAGTTATGAATCCCACACGAAATTTGGAAGTTGGGCTCATGGGCATGGATTAGTCCAATGTGCTGGATTAATTTAGTTATTGTGAATACTCTGCGGGAACATTTTGGACAATGGTATGGCTGTGGCATCAATAAAGTAGATTTATTTTGCGGCTCAGAGTTATTGGCAAAGGTTGGTCCACCTCCAGTGGCATTTTTGCAATGTATCTTTGGAGGAAATTCAAAGTGTTCTTGAGGCAGTGTGGATACTGAATGTTGAAAATGAAGTATGTGCAGAATGCAGCGATGACCCCATCTTCAACGCCGGAACAACGGCACACTTCAACGCTGTCCACTTTAACCACGATTGGGACTCTGGTGGTGAACGCCTTTTTCCAGTCTCCTAGCAGCTGAATAGTAGGATATGGATGTTTTGGGTCTTCCTGTAAATTAAAATGACAAAATTGAAGTTATATAATATATGATTTTGTGACTGATATGGTGTAAATTAACACCATCTTGACATTAATTTAATCTGGTTTCAGCTGTCAAGAGGATGCATTGCCACTCATCTTCATACTTGAAACTTTAGTGCAGGTGACAGAATTCTTTTTTTTTTTTTAAATCAACATACATACCTCTCCAAGAGTTATGAAATGATTTATCTTCTCTTTAAAAAATATCAGCATGAAAATGGCAGTTGCTCGTAGATCAATATCTGTGGAAAGAGAAATAGTGTTCTAATACATACATTACATAAATTACATTAACAATGACAAAGCACCAGAAAAATCAACAACAGGTCAGAGCACCAGGACATTACGTTGCTTTCTGTTGCTGAAAATGCACCTTCTATTCCAAAAGTTTTAAAATTATTTGTTCAATTTCATTTTCTCAAGGCAAACTATGGTGCTGAAAATATCGCTTTTAATTCCTGAAATCCACAAGTTGGCTAAAGTGACCCAGTCAGAATATTTGTTTATAATTTAAGACAAATTAATAGTGTATATTTTATTGAAATCATTGCCCGTAATCCTGTTAGATCACTGTTGGAACTTTTTTCTTTAATACTGTTCAACAACTTTTTAGCATTTCTTTTAACTAATTAAGCCTAACTAACATACTGATTAAGTTGTTAATCATGAACGCCTTTACTTCATATCTCCCACTACATGCCTGACTCAAAGTCACCGCCTGCCACCAATTCATACCTTGTGCATTTTCAGTGAGGGCCTCATCTTTGGCCTCCTGGTAGTGAGCAAAAATGGAAGCCTTCCCTTTCGTTTGCTCAATTACTTTTGCGCTGATGGATTTTAACTCTTCTTTAAACTTCTTTGATAGATTCGTCACTTCTGGGTGGATACGTTCCAACTCATCAGTGAGCTAGAGAGAAATAGAAGTCAATGATTAAAAGGCAAACTAGAAGTGATAAATATACAGATAAGACTCACTCCACTTGTGGAGCACAAAAAGGGGTACTTCTTCATAATGTCCTCCACAGACATTCCTTCAGCTATCTCTTTTTGACGCCACACAAATGTTTGCTGCATACGATCTCGAACTACTGCATGATCGGGAATCACTTTTTGGTGCTGGCTGTTGAGAATCTGGATATGAGCATCAATGGAAGTTGCATCTTCTGCCAGAGTGATTGGTTCCTAAAAGTAAAGGAAAAACAAATAAAATGCATATAATAGTTCATTGAGACGGTTAGACAGGCATTGAGTACAGACCATATGTCGTCGTTTTGCAGCTACAGATGCATTGTCACTTGACTTTTTCGATTGTTGATGACCAAACTTTCTTTTAAATCGTTGAACTTCATCACAGTGCACCAAGGGCACACGCTCCATTTTAAACTTCCGTTTTAATGACATGTGCCATGTTTGCTAGTTTTGAGGAAATAGAAAATGTTTTTATTTACTTTGATAACCCTCTTAAATTCATTAAATAAGTTGTTTCTTGGTTTGTCACTGTTTGCAAAGCTTCTTTTTACAAATAGAAATGTAATCTTTGCAGCAAAATTTGGCTTCAAAATCTTGATTTTATCATGTATCATCAACCTCCAAAAAAAAATATTCTAGATGCAATGTAACATTATTTCATTTATGACAGTAACTGAAACAAAACACTTACATAACCATTTCCTTCAATATCCTTGAGGAAAGGATATTTTACGATCAGCTTTTTTACCACATGAACATATTCTGTATTGGTGGGATACCTAGAATCGAAAGATACAGAGGTCACTAACATTGTTAAAACTACCCTTAATTTACATACTTACATTGTGAATTGTGCCATAGCCTCATATAAAACTCTCACAATTATGTGTCTGTCTTTTGAGTTCCTATGGCATGGTTCTTTGTTGACCAGCTTCTTCTGTACATTAGAAGGGAATGTTGGAATTTGAAAATTTGTTGGCAATCTGTTGAGTAAATGAGAAACCAATGTCAGTACAGAAGCCTCAAGATAAATGTAATACATTATCAAGACCTATTGTGATTTTTTTTCAGGTCCTAATACCTGGATGTCACTGAAAGTGACTGCTGAACCTCTGGTTCCACCTCTGGTGTTACAGGTTCAAGTGACAGTGTAAAAACTGTCTCCTTAAGACTGTTTATAAATTGATTGAATTTTAGTTGCTTTTTGAAAGAGCCTTGGAATAAATAGGCTATCATATGCTCTGTCAAACCGCAGTCAACTGTCTCTCCATCCACCTCATTTTCTACAAAAAAGAGAAAGCACAAAGTTAGCAACGAATAGACTAAACTAAATGCAGTGAGGAGTTTCAGTTTAGACTGAATATTATACCAGAAACCATTAATTTCTAACTTAATTGTCATTTTAAAATGTTTTTATTGATTAGCAGAGTGTTGGCGTGCATTCTATTTGGCATAAAAGAATAAAGAACCAGATGCAATCAACGACAGCAACACTGGCAAAGTAGACACGGAATTTGCACATGTGCGGGGGCAATCTTGGCTTAAGTACTAAAATTTCCCTCAGTGCCACATGTCTCCACTAATACAAAATAAATACATGAACTTGCGTTGATATCTTTTCACTTCGAACCCGGCATATTATTGTGTTAAAATTGTGAGTATTCTCCTTTGTCCAAATCCTGTGTTTACTCCATAAAATATGGTTTAAAAAGCAGCATAACGCGAACATAAAGTTGCCAAGACCGAGAACCAGGACAAGTCAACATGGACGCTCTGGGCTCAGATATGGGGAAAGGCCCCTGAACGTGGAAAGTACTCAAGCCAAATTCATCTCGAACTGGTTAAACACAACATTATCCATTGCCGTAAATATATACATTTACATCTAGACGAAGCATTCCTTATTTGACCGGAGAAAACCAAAGCCACGGTAAGCAGACCACGCGTTTAACTAACATTAGATAAAAGGTCAAAACATGAATGCTGACAAATTTATCTTACAAGGAAGGTCTAAAGATGAAACTAGGATCCCAAATCAGAAAAATATCCCGGTCCAAGTCACCACCTACACCTACTCTAGATGTAGCGTTAGACCAAAACCAGCCCTTAAGCCCCATGTCCACTAACAGCTAACTATTTTTCAGAATTGTCTAACACGTAGGGGTTTGTCACATCCACACCTCTGTAACCAAACTTTCCCTCGAACAAACGTAAATGTGTTCCCTATACACCGATATTTAATACAATATGTACTGCAGCAGAGTTGACTAGCTAGCTTAAACTCCCGCCGACGGCTAGCTCCGCGCAAAAACAGAAGCTAACGCTAACGCGACTTTTCACGTCCAGTTGACATAACATCGACATCGAACACATACACGCAATAAAAAATATCTTGACCCAGACATGGGCAGACGATGGCCATGGTTTAAACAGCATCTGAGTCAGCATTTTCAACTAGCTTAGCATTGAGCTGGCTTGTACTACAAGCTAACTTACAAAATACAACTTCTAGAACTGTGTTTGTTCAAACTTACCCCTGAATCGTTTGGCTTCCTCCTCAGACACATCTATTCCGGATTGAAGCACTTTCTCCAAAAGCTCATCGGTTGAAAGAGCCCTTAATGCCATCCTTCCATGAGTTAGACCAAGTCCGGGGTCCTCGCAGCGGGAAAATGAAAAGACCTAAGCACTACTAACAGTGTCCTTCCTCATAGCTGCTGTTGTTCATGTATTCATGCGCATTAATTTAATATAGTCCCTACTTGGGGCCAATAATGTACCCTCTAGGCTCAAATTTGCACCATGTGTGGTACATTTTTAGTGCCTTTTTAACATAAGTGGTACATTTATGTTCCTTTTTGATTTGAAAAATTGTATTGTACCCTTTTTACCCCCAAAAGGCTCAATAATGTATCTTAAGGACCAATAATGATCTAATTGGGTTACGATGTTCTAGATTTGTACCTATGAGTACAGAAATGGTCTCCTAACGTACCCTTATTTCTGAGAGTGTGCTTTGTCTGTTGCCGGGTCGCGAAAGCAGCAGTTGTCCTCTCTAATGTGTCCTGGGTCTTCCCAAGGGACTCCTCCCGGTGAGACATGCCCGGAACACTTTCAGGAGTCATTTGGAAGAGATGCCCGAGCCTCCTCGTGACCTGGAGAAGCAGCACCTCTACTCCAAGCCCCTCCCGTGTGACTGAGCTTCACACCTTATTTCTAAGCAGCCACTGTGGAGGAATGGTCCTTTCAACCACTTAGTCCTTTTGGTCATCACTCAAAGACGGTGGGGTGATGGTGGGAACGTAGATCGAACAGTAAATTGGGAGCTTTGCCTTTCCACTCAACTTCCTCTTCACCACAACAGTCCGATACAGCGGCCGCATCACTGCGCACGCTGCACCGATCCACCTGTCAATCTCACGCTCCATCCTGCCCTCACTCATTAACAAGAACCCCAGGATACTTGAACTCCTCCACTTAAGGAAGGACCTCAGAATCCAAATTCTGTTAATAAAAACAGTAAACAGAACCAGTGACTGGGGACAGGTCTAATTCATTAGGCCTGATCTGGGATCATGAGCATGAAATGATGTGACATCTCATGCTTAAGATTTTGCACAATGACAGGAGGTACAATGAAAATAATAGTCATTACATAACAGTCAGTTACTGAAGGTGTTTTGTTGTCACCATCATCACTTACATTTGCATAATGACAACAGATCTTTCAATCAATCAATGTTTATTTATAAAGCACTACAATGCAAACAAAGTGCAATAGAGTTAACTTTATACCCAACGGTCCCTAGAGTTAGGGTTGGCAGTCATAAAAGCACTTGACTGAGTGCAGATGAAACCAGTCGATGTAGATAAGTGCATATTGAAATGAAGCTGAATGCGCAGGTTCAGACTGAAAGACCGAGTGCCTGCCACCCTCGAGCCTCAGCCAATCACACAGCTCTGCCAGCCTCGAGCCTCAGCCAATCAAACCGCCAGGCCAGCCTCCTGCCAACCCTCTCACAGCAAAGCGGGCAGTTTAAAAGGCAGCCACTTCCTGACAAGCAACGCTTCCTGAGGCTCTTAAACACCCACCACCTCCCCAGCACCCCCTCTGGCTCTTGGCTCCCGCTCTGGCTCCCGCTCTGGTTCCCGCTCTGGTTCCCGCTCTGGCTCCCACTCTGGCTCCCGCTCTGGATCCCGCTCTGGCGCCCGCTCTGGCTCCCGCTCCGGCTCCTGCTCCGCCTTCGCCCCATTCACACCATACTCTAGCCACCACCAGTGATTGACCCCGGGGGATCTGAGATCATCTTCAGCTGCAATCGATATCATTGCTGCAAGTGTCACTGCCGGGGTCAATGCGCCAAACAAATACATAATTTTATTGTATTAATTGTGTCTTTGGTCTCTTCAGATTGAACCCACTTTCTCAACCCTGAAGAAATGCAACCTTGGATTCAGTGGGAAATTTATGCTAATGATATTCATTTTTTATGGATTATTTTGTGGATATGTTGGCATTCATTTTATCATAGTAATAATATAAAACCACCATTCATACATATATATAAAACACACACCTTTGTCCCTCCGCGGCTAACCCTCAAGCTCGGGTCCTCTGCCAGAGGCCTGGCAGCTTGAGGGTTCTGCGCAGTATCTTTGCTGTTCCTAGCACTGCACATTTCTGGACCGAGATTTCCGAGGTTGGAATCCGCTGTAACCACTCTTCTAGCTTCGGGGTCACCTTTACCCTCCAGGCCCTCTCCAGCTCCTCTCTGAGACCTTGGTATTTCTCAAGCTTTTCATGTTCTTTTTTCCGGATGTTACCATCGCTTGGAATTGCCACGTCCACCACCACGGCTGTCCTCTGCCCTTTGTCTACCACCACGATGTCAGGTTGGTTTGCCATTACCATTCGGTCGGTCTGTATCTGGAAGTCCCACAGGATCTTCGCACGCTCATTCTCCACCACCTTTGGAGGAGTTTCCCACTTAGACCTTGGGGTTTCCAGCCCATACTCTGCACAGATGTTTCTGTACACTATGCCAGCCACTTGGTTATGGCGTTCCATGTAGGCCTTCCCTGCCAGCATCTTGCACCCTGCAGTTATGTGTTGGATCGTCTCAGGTCCCCCTTTGCACAACCGACACCTTGGGTCTTGTCTGGTGTGGTATATCTGGGCCTCTATCGCTCTGGTGCTCAGGGCCTGTTCCTGTGCAGCCATGATGAGTGCCTCTCTGCTGTCCTGTAGGCCAGCCCTTTCTAGTCATTGGTAGGACTTCTTGAGATCAGCC